ATGTATCGCTCATATCTCACGGTCGTATATAAGATTTTTGCCAATTTTCACACCCAAATTAAATTATGTTTTGAAGTAGTCTGAAAAAAATCGGGGGCTCCTTGTCCCTTGTTCTGTTTTTGAAGTAGTTTGAAAGAATTTCGGAGATCCCGTCTTGTTTTTGAAGTCATTTAAAGAATGCGCAAACCCCTTGTGTTCTGTTTTTGAAGTAGTTTAAAAGAATTTCGAGAACTCTATGTGTCTTTTTGAAGTGGTTTCAAAGAATCTCAGGGACCCTTCTAGTTTTCTTTTTGAAGTAGCTGAAAGAAACTCGCGGATTCCTTGGCTTGTTTTTGAAGTATTTTGAAAATATCTCGAGGATGTTTTGCTTTTAAAGTAGTTTAAATGAATTTCGGGAACCTCTTTTGTTTTGTTCTTGAAGTATTTTGAAAGAATCTTGGGGATCCCTTGTCTGGTTTTTGAAAAAAAGTTTTTACATGTTTAATAGTCTTATCTTAGCAAGCGCTAGCCCCGCCCACCGGCCCCCTATTTTCTCAGAATTTATTTCATTTGCCCAAAATACGTTTTACCTTTGCAAGTACTAGCCCCGCCCACCCGCCCTCTATTTGCTCAGAGGGTATGGCATTTGCCAAAGTCAGTCTTATCTTACCAAGTATTAGCCCCGCCCACCCGCCCCTATTTTCTTGGAAGGTATGGCATTTGCCAAAGTCAGTCTTATCTTACCAACTACTAGCCCCGCCCACCCGCCCTCTATTTTCTCAGAGGATATGTCATTTTCCAAAATAAGACTTATCTTAGCAAGTACTAGCAAGTACTACCCTCTGAGAAAATAAAAAACGAGTAGGCGTGGCTAGTACTTACTAACATAAGTCTTATTTTGGCAAACGACATATACTCTGAGAAAAAAAGGGGTGGGTGGGCGGGGCTAGTATTTGGTAAGATAAGACTGATTTTGGAAAATGATATATCCTCTGGAAAATAGGGGGCGGGTGGGCGGCCTAGTATTTATTAAGATAACTGATTTTGCCCCTATTCATTTTGTAAAAACTTGTCAAATTTAAAAGTGTTAAATTGCAAATTTCCATAGTCATCACAACATTGTGTAAAGAAAAAACTCAACTCGAAAATGCTCGATATGTTTTATTGTAGTTTAAGAGCGAGAGAAGTTCTGTCGAAACAACTTTCGACCAATTTTTGAAGTAGTTTGGAAGAATTTCGAGGACTCCATGTGTCTTGTTTTTGAAGTGGTTTGAAAGAATCTCAGAGACCCTTTTTATTTTGTTTTTGAGGTAGTTTGAAAAAACCTCAGGGATTACCCGGCTTGTTTTTGAAAAAATCTCTAGAATCCTTTGTGTTCTGTTTTTGAAGTAGTTTGAAAAAATCTTGGGGATCCCGTTTTGCTTTTGAAGTAATTTAAAAGAATGCGAAAATCCCTTGTGTTTTGTTTTGAAGTAGTTTGAAATTTTCTCGGGTACCTCTTGTCTTGTTTTTAAAGTAATTAGAAAGAATCTCAAAGACCCTTTGTGTTCTGTTTTTGAAGTAGTTTGAAAGACTCTCGGGGATTCCCTGGCTTGTTTTTGAAGTATTTTGAAAAAATATCGAGGATGTTTTGCTTTTGAAGTAATTTAAAAGAATCTCATGGACCTCTTGGGTTTTGTTCTTGAAGTAATTTGAAAGAATTTTGGGGATCCCTTGTCTGGTTTTTGAAGTAATTTGAAAGGATCTCAGGAACTTCTTGTGTGTGTGTGTGTTTTTTTTTATAGTTTGAGAGGATTTTTGAACTACTTTGAAAGAATCTCGAGGACCTTGGAAATATACAATTTAACACCTTTTAAATTTAACAAGTTTTTACAGGTTTAATAGGGGCAAAATCACTCTTACCTTAGCAAGCGTTAGCCCCGCCCCCCCGCCCCCTATTTTCTCAGAATTTATTTCATTTGCCAAAATAAGTTTTACCTTTGCAAGTACTAGCCCCGCCCACCCGCCTTCTGTTTGCTCAGAGGCTATGGTATTTGCCAAAGTCAGTCTTATCTTACCAAGTATTAGCCCCGCCCACCCGCCCCTATTTTCTTGGAAGGTATGGTATTTGCCAGTCAGTTTTATCTTACCAACTACTAGCCCCGCCCACCCGCCCTCTATTATCTCAGAGGCTATGTCATTTGCCAAAATAAGAGTTATCTTAGCAAGTACTAGCAAGTACTACTCTTTGAGAAAATGAAAAACGGGTGGGCGCGGCTAGTACTTACTAACATAAGTCTTATTTTGGCAAATGACATATACTCTGAGAAAATAAGGAGTGGGTGGGCGGGGATAGTACTTAGTAAGTTAAGACTGAATTTGGCAAATCACATATCTTCTGAAAAAATATGGGCTGGGTGGGCGGGGCTAGTATTTGGTAAGATAAGACTGATTTTGGCAAATGATATATCCTCTGGAAAAATAGGGGGCGGGTGGGCGGGCCCAGTATTTATTAAGATAAAACTGATTTTGCCCCTATTCATTTTGTAAAAACTTGTCAAATTTAAAAGTGTTAAATTGCAAATTTCCATATCCATCACAACATTGTGTAAAGAAAAAACTCAACTCGAAAATGCTCGATATGTTTTATTGTAGTTTAAGAGCGAGGGAAGTTCTGTCGAAACAACTTTCGACCAATTTTTGAAGTAGTTTGGAAGAATTTCGAGGACTCCATGTATCTTGTTTTTGAAGTGGTTTGAAAGAATCTCAGAGACCCCTTTTACTTTGTTTTTGAGGTAGTTTGAAAGAACCTCAGGGATTAACTGACTTGTTTTTGAAAAAATTTGAAGGAATCCCGATAATCCCTTGTGTTTTGTTTTTGAAGTAGTTTGAAAGAATCTTGGGGATCCCGTCTTGTTTTTGAAGTAATTTGAAAGGATGCGAAAACCCCTTGTGTTTTGATTTTGAAGTAGTTTAGAAGAATTTCGACAACTCCATGTTCCTTGTGTGGTGTTGTTGAAGTAGTTTAATAGAATCTCGGGGACTCCTTCTAGTTTGTTTTTGAAGTAGTTTGAAGGAATCTTGAGGATTCCTTTTATTTTGTTCTTGAAGTATTTTGAAAGAATCTCAGGAACCATTTTAGTTTTGTTTTTGAAGTAGTTTGAAAGAATCTCGGGGATTCCCTGGCTTGTTTTTGAAGTATTTTGAAAAAATATCGTGGATGTTTTGCTTTTGAAGTAGTTTAAAAGAATCTTATGGACCTCTTGGGTTTTGTTCTTGAAGTAATTTGAAAGAATTTTGGGGATCCTTGTCTGGTTTTTGAAGTAATTTGAAAGAATCTCAGGAACTCCTTGTGTGTGTGTTTTTTTTATAGTTTGAGAGGATCTTACGACTCCTCCATTGTTTTATTTTTGAACTAATTTAAAAGAATCTCGGGGACCTTGGAAATATACAATTTAATACTTCTTAAATTTAACAAGTTTTTACAAGTTTAATAGGGGCAAAATCACTCTTATCTTAGCAAGCGCTAGCCCCGCCCACCAGCCCCCTATTTTCTCAGAATTTATGTCATTTGGCAAAATAAATTTTACATTTGCAAGTACTAGCCCCGCCCACCCACCCTCTATTTTCTCAGAGGGTATGGCATTTGCCAAAGTCAGTCTTATCTTACCAAGTACTAGCCCCGCCCACCCACCCCCTATTTTCTTGGAAGGTATGTCATTTGCCAAAATAAGACTTATCTTAGCAAGTACTACCCTCTCAGAAAATAAAGAACGGGTGGGGGGGGTAGTACTTACTAACATAAGTCTTATTTTGGCAAATGACATATACTCCGATAAAATAGGGGGTGGGCGGGCGGGGCTAGTGCTTAGTAAGATAAGACTGATTTTGGTAAATAGCATATCCTCTAAGAAAATAGAGGGCGGGTGGGCGGGGCTAGTACTTAGTAAGATAAGACTGATTTTGACAAATGATATATCCTCTGGAAAAATAGGGGGCGGGTGGGCGGGCCTAGTATTTATTAAGATGAAATTGATTTTGCCCCTATTAATCTTGTGAAAACTTGTGAAATTTAAAGGTGTTAAATTGCAAATTTCCATAGTAACGAGTCAAATTCCTAAATCTTCACATTTTTTAGATTTGCTTATACAACTGGCTCAAAAAAAATTAATGAAGGTGTCAATTTATTTTATTGATTAAATCAGGAACGGCTCACTCCCTTTTCTCAGAAAATTTTGGGAATACAATACTGTTATTTTTCGTATTACACTGCACCAATCCAAGTTGATATACGTGTCCTTGAAAAAAAAATGTTGATGCCGTCATCACAACATTGTGTAAGGAAAAACTCAAGTCGAAAATTTTCATTTTATGTTAGTTACATGATGTTCCAGTAAAAAATTTTACGTGTAAAAAAACTTTACGACGTATGTAAAGTATATTCAATATCTAAAATTATAATAAAAAATCCCATCCAAAATTTTATGAAGTCGCGCATTTTGCGGTTAAAATTTGCAATAGTTGTTGTCATTACGCAACAGTCAAATATTTACACAAGGAAACTGGCCTGTCCCACAAAAAAATTTAATGTTTTCTCAGACTCAGACACAACTTTATTAATGTATTACTTACAACCCTGAAATGTACGCAGATACATCGTTGACGACAATCAAAAAAAGAATCGGACCTAGAACAGAGCCCGATCTCCATATTGGAGTTAAATGAGGTTTAAAATGTTTAAAATATTTTATGACACCCAGACATATTTATGTCATGTCAATTTAACAATGACGAATTTGATTAAGCACATCTTAATAAGCCGTGGAATACTACACTATTACTTAAGTTTTTCCAACCCATTAATTTATCAAATAACTGAGTGCCCATTATGCACGGGCCCACCTAAACCAGTGTGGTCCCCTGTTGATCGTTTCACCGTTACAATGGGGCTTGAAATTAAAATAAATACGTCCAACGAAAAATAATCAATTCTTTCCTGAAAGCAAGTCCTAACCTCCTGACCCACTTCCTCCCTAACTCACCTTTCCTCGATGGTCAAATTGGCAAGTTCAGGGACCCAGCACCAGTGCTGCTCCGGAACAATCGTGATAAAAATCTGCGTGAAGTACACCCACGCCACGAAAAAGGCGAACGGGATCATCATCAGGAACAGGATCTTCTGGTAGATCCCGAACTCCCCTATCTGCGGCAGCAGATCGTCGAACTCGAACGCCCCCTTGCCAGCCTCCTCCGGAGCCGGCTTCTCGCTCTTGTCTTCCGGGTCCGGAACGAAGGCGCCGTTGGCGAATCCGGCCGTGCATTGCATCTCCACGGGAGCCTCGCACTCGGACTCGCCGGAGGCCTGGGGCATTTTTTCTTGGGGTGGCATTTCGGGGCTCACGGCACTCTCACTCGTGCACTTCACTTTGCGATCAGGCTAACCCCGGACGAGGCAAATCCCAACCGACGACGATTTCGACTAAACCGGAGTCAAAGACTTGCAGGTTTTTATACCGAGTGTTAAGGACGTGCGGATCCCTCCACCGGCGTCGGCTGGAAGCGTTAAATATTTAGCGGCTGATTCGTGCGGGGACTTTCGCGAGGAACGGTTTGCTGCGGAGAGAGTGAGTTAAATTTAGATAGTCGTAGGTTTGGTGCGACGAAGTCCAGGAGCTGGAAAATAGAGAAACGAAAAGGGGTTTGGTGTTTTTATTTTGTTTATGTAACGGTGGTGCTGCTGAGTGTATGAGGTTTATTAATAAAAAGTAAAAGTGTAGAAGGAAAACTTGATTATGCTCATTATCTTCGTAAGAATTTTATGTGCATACATAGATATGAGATGAGTGTTCACAGAACGTCGTTTTTATCTTGGAATTTATTGCCCTGTGAAGTTAAAACGGTGATAACTGTGTAAGCATGCCCTAAACGACACTGTACCAGTGGTAGGTAGAATCCCTTGACAGAGACGTACTTTTAAAATTTCATGAAAGTCGGCTATCATTGGTTAAACCACCTAGGTGTACGTGCTTACTGGAACAATAAGTCGTCGGCGGACACTGAGAGCAAACTATGTCATTAATAAAAGTGACAAAAAGCAGTGACTTCAGGACGGATCCCTGAACAACGATTAAAAACCTTGCAAGATTCATATAATTACGTCTGCTTGACCTAATTTATGAAGATTTATAGATGGGCAGATTGTTGGTGGAACATGACTATAATTCTTTTATGTATTATGTAGTTGTTTATAATGCAACTGCACCTTATTCCATTATTAAAATTATTACTAGTAGTTCTAAAAAACATATTTACAATAGCAAATTAAGAAGGTTGAAATTAAAACTGGTCCTAGTGAGACGACCTTCATATATTTTTTTTTAATGTACTGAAAACTACAGCTTCGTTTATTTGTGTTCTGTATGTTATTAAAACGGTTATTTTTTTTAAATTCAGGAAATAAACTGTTTGTCAACTACATAAATTAAAAAAGGATAATATTAGTTTTATTTACTTTAATGTTTTTCTTTATTTCATATTTAACAGTTTATCAAAAGTTTTTGAAAAAGCACTAGATATGTTTCAAGTGAGTTTGTCAGAATAAAATTTTGTGATGGTGTACTAATTAACTTATTAGCAAGAACAAAAGAAACAACAAAAAAATACAAGAAAAACTGGACGAAAAACGCAAAAAAGATGATTAAAAAACACAAAAAATGGGACACAGAAAATGACAAAAAAGTTGAAAAAAGAAAAATTATAAAACGAAAGAGAACCCCAAAAGGTCCATAAAGAGAGACCAAAAATATGGCAAAAAAAGAGTAATAAAAAAACTACAAAAAATGAAAAAAACTCCAAAGAAAAATTTAAAAAGCGACAAAAAGTGACAAAAAAGGACTAGAAGACAGAGGTAAAAAACACAAGAAAAGATTGCGACAAAAAAAAATGGCAATAAAATGCGACAAAAAAAAGACAACAGAGGGATCGAACAATAAGCGACAAAAAACGCAAAAAACGTGCATATAAAAAAAGGAGACAAAACACGAAAAAAAACACATCTATTTTAAAAAATGTACAAAAAAGGGGGAAAAACCCACAAGAAAAAGGGACAAAAAATAAGATCAAAGTTAAAACACAAAGGCAGCAACAAAACGATAAAAGGCAAAAATAAAACACTAACAATTCACAAAAATATACAAACGAAGAGATGAAATGTGAGACAAAAAAAGCACAAAAAATCCGGGACAGCAAACAGACGGACAGACGGAAACGGGAGACCTATTGCTTCGTACTCTAGGGGTCTTGAAAGGTCGAGAAAACGTAAAAGTGGAGAGTCGGCCGACAGACTCGATTACAATACTTCCCGAGCTTCTAAAAAAATGTACAGAACAACAACAAAAAAAGGTTCAAAAAAGCCACAAAAGACCTGGCGAATAAAACCAATAAACAAAGGAGTAAAAAAGGGTCAAAAAACGGACATCTAAAAAAAAGCAACAAAAACGGACAAAAAACCGACTAAAACAGTTTCAAAAAGGCTACAAAAACCAGATGAAAAAGTGAAAAAGAAGGGAATAAAAATGCAACAAAAAAAAAGAACGCCAAAAATGGATTGATTAAACAAGAGAAAAAACTCTATAAAAACACACAGGAAACAAATGTTAAAAACGTGTCAAGAAAAATAGTCTAAAAAGAAGACGACAGAAAAATGCAACACAATAAACAGAGGACAATAAAACGAAAAAAAAGGTTTACAAGAAAACGTTAAAAGAAAGCATAAAGAAATGGCCAAAGAGGTTCATAAGAACTTTCAAAAATGCGACAAAAAAGGGGAATTAACAAAACTTCGAAAGAAATGACAAAAAACTGAAAAGAAAAAGATTAAAAAAAGGCGCCAAAAAAGAGGTAAAAAAAGGTGACAAAAAAAGATGCGAAGTGACCGAACGAAAAGCGACAGAAAAAACGATTGAACAAAGCGCAAAAAACGTGCATATAAAAGAGGTGACAAAAACACAAAAAGAAGGACATAAAGTGTTAAAAAATTCCATGAAAAATTTAAAAAAGGTACCAAAAAGGGTGAAAAATTCACAAGAAAAAGAGACAAAAAATAAGCTCAAAATCTGAACAAAAAGGCAACAACAAAACAATAAAAGGCACAAATAAAACACCAAAAATCGACAAAAATAGACAAAAGAAGAGACGAAATATTCGACACAAAAGACAAAACAAAAAAAAAAGACAAAAAAAAAACAAAAATGGCTTCTACAAGAAGGTATAGAACAACAACAAAAAAGGTTCAAAAAAGCGACAAAAGATCAGGCGAAAAAAATCAATAAACAAAGAAAGGTCAAAAAATGGCCGTCTTAAAAAGTAATCAAAATGGACAAAAAACTTTCTAAAACAGGTTCAAAAAGGCGACAAAAATTAGACGAAAAGTGATAAAAAAGGGAGTAAAAAATGCAACAAAAAAGGAAGAAAAAAGGAAGAAAAAAACTCTATAAAAGTGTTAAAAAAGCGACAAAAAAAAACAGTCGAAAAAGAAAACAATAGAAAAATGCAACAAAATAAACAGAGGACAGCGAAACGAAAAAAAAAGTCCACAAAAGGTTTCAAAAATGCGACAAAAAAGGAGGACCAAGAAAACCGAAAGAAATGACAAAAAATCTGCAAAGAAAAAGGTTTAAAAAGGGAACCAAAAACAAAAAAAAAACGAAATGGGTTGAAAAAAGCCGTACAGATTTTAAAAAAGTTATTGAAAAGGAGAAAAACTCGCAAGAAAAAGAGACAAAAAAATAAAAAGGCAACAACAAAGCAATAAAAGGCACAAATAAATTACCAAAAATCCACAAAAATAGACAAAAGAAGGGACGAAATATGCGACAAAAAAGATACAAAAAAGGATCTTCTAAGAATAGGTACAGAACAATAAAAAAGAGTTCAAAAACGCTACAAAAGACCAAGCGAAAAATCAATAAACAAAGGAGTAAGAAAGGGTCCGGAAATGGGCGTCTAAGAAAGTAACAAAAACGGACAAAAAAACGACTAAAAAAGGTTCGAAAAGACGACAAAAACCAGACGAAAAGGTGATAAAAAATGCAACAAAAAATTACACCGAAAAAAACGGCAAAAAAGGAATTAAACAAAGGAAAAACTCCACAAAAATGGAGCAAAACATGCTAAAACACACAAGAAAAAAGTGTGAAAAAACAGCCTAAAAAGAAGACGACAGAAAAATGCAACAAAATTAACAAAGGACAACAAAACGAAAAAAAAAACAGTTTACAAGAAAACGTAAAAAATACAAATACATCGCCAAAAAGTCCATAAAACGCTTTCAAAAATGCTACAAAAAAAGGAGAACGAAAGAAAGGACAAAAAAAAACTCAAACAAAAAAATTTTAAAAAGGCTTCAAAAAAGAGGTGAAAAAAGGTAACAAAAAAGCGACAAAAAAAAAGGCAAAAAAGACGAGAAAAACGATTAAGAAAGAGGGCGAATGAAATGCGACAAAAAAAAACTATTAAAAAAATCACAAAAAACGTGCATAAAAACCGACAAAAACCGCAAAAATTTGACTAAAAAATCTACAAAGAAATGTAAAATAAAGGACAAAAAAATGTTAAAAAAAATGGAAAAACTTTTTTGACGAAAAACGCAATAAAAAAAGGGAACAAGAAATGACATAAGAAAAAGAAATAAAAAATGCGAAAAATCCGAAAAAAGTCAATAACGATAAAAAAAGCTTCTAAAAAAGTGTAAAAAAAAACAAAAAAATATGAAAAAAAGGGTTAAATAAGGCGACAAAACACCAGCTGCCGGTGTGAAAATCGATAAAAAAAGAAATAAAAGAATACAACAGAAAATGACTTCAAAAAATGCAACCATAAATGACAAAAAAGTGACAAAAAACGCTAAAAAAAGCCATAAAAACCGATGAAACAAGGTTAAAAAAGGCGTCAATAAAGAGACAAAAAGCAATTTAAAATATTTTTATAAAGTGCAATATTCAAAATTAATGAAGTACCACATTCCGAATTTATGAAATACAGCATTAAAAATTTTATGAAATTTAGTAACATTTATGTACTAGCCAAATTTTGGGTAGAATTTTGAAAATATTGACGATTTTCCTCAATGATTTTATGCATATAGTTATAAAATTTAATAACGATGGAGTTTCCAAGATAAAAAAGTTAATACAGACAACGGACAGCCAGAGAGGGGAGACCCATTCTTTCAAACTCTAGGGATCATGAAATGTCGAGAAAACAAATTAACTAATTATCAAACGGACAATCGAAAAATAAAAAGGATCCAGTTTTATTATATTTGGCGAACGGCTTCTTCCATCACCCCTTTAGTAGTCTGTTGTGTCTCTCAACTGTCAATTTTGTTTAAATTTTATAAAATAACATATTCCTACGCTTTTTTTATGAAACCATGATTTTTTCCCCAAGACATCCACATTTTTTCGAAAAATAATAATCAATATTGTATGACAACAATGACGTTATC